GAGCGAATGGCACTCTGAGTTTTGGATTGTGACTTTCAATTGTATTTAACAGTTGTTAAGAAAACAGGGGTAAATACATTTTTTTTTTTTTTTTTCCTGTACTGGCAATCGAACTCACGATCTCGCACTTGCCAGGCAGGCGCTGTGCTGCTGAGCTAAATCCCCAGCCCCTATCTCTTGGTTCTTTTATCTTTAAATGTACTGGCAATCGAACTCACGACCTCGCACTTGCCAGGCAGGCGCTGTGCTGCTGAGCTAAATCCCCAGCCCCTATCTCTTGGTTCTTTTATCTTTAAAATAAAATAAAAAAAATTTAAAAACCAGATAAGGAGAGTTCTAGCTTGTTTGTTTTTGTGGAGCTGGGGATGGAACCCAACCTCTCACACATGTGAGGCAGTGCTCTACCACTGAGCTACACCCTTAGCCTTGGAGCTGGGATTTTATTTAAACTATGATACCACACTGAAGGACTTTCAGTGAGCTGAATCCAATTTTTTTTTTTTTTCGGTACTGGGAATCGAACTCGTGACCTCGCGCTTGCCAGGCAGGAGCTGTGCCGCTGAGCTAAATCCCCAGCCCCCTGAATCCAATTTACCTGTAGCACAAATAAGCCCTCTGGTGGCTCCCCAGAGTATAGGAGGTAGGGAGGCAAAAGTGGAGGCCAGGAGGCCAGTCAGGCTATTCCAGTAGCTCTGGAGACAGATTTTGGCAGAAGGAAAAAGCAGCACAGAGAGAGAGAAATGGCAAGTCAAAGACCAACAACTATGGCTCATTTTCAGTGCCATGCTCAGGCCAGCAAGGCAGGTTGTCTATAGGCTCAGGGCCCCAGATGTGCCTGGGGACTCTGTCCTGCCTGCAGCCCTTCACCTGGGTGCACAGACCCAGCCCTGCCTCCCCTGGTGGCTGGGACTCGCCAAGCTTCTTCCAAGGGCCCGCCACCTTAGCAGTGGGAAGCTTGTCAGTCCTGTGGTGCTTCCCCATGAGATGGGGCAGGAAAAGCTGCAATGCATAGCTTGTCGCTAGGATGCACATTGTAAGAGCCAGTCAAAGACAGCCAAGTATGCTACCTCTGTACTTCCCCTTTGCAGCCCCATAAAACCTCCCTTTGTGGGCCCTTGAGGCCTGACATTTTGAGGGACAGTCGACTCCTGGTCAGTGCCTGTCTGACGTTAAAGAAATCCGCCTCCAAATCCTGGGTGTCATTTTGGTGTTTCTGCTTGTCGTAGCACTCCCATCTCGTAGCTGATGGGCACCCACCCTGGAGCTGATGCCTCTGTCTACAATGTCTAGTCCCACCACCAGGGGTGCTGGGAGCCTCTCGGGTGCACAGAGGTAAGAAGGGGAAGTCCCATGCAGTTCTGGGCCAGCACAGGTGGCTGCAGTAGGGCTGCCCATGTCACCAGCCATAGGATCCTGCTGCTAGGACTTCCTACCCCAGCCTCACCCTCTGCTGGGCAAGTCCTTCAAGACAGCCTCTCCTGACACATGGCCTCGGGCAGGGCAGGGCAACCAGGGGCCAGGTCCCTGGGCTTTCTGTGGGCAGAGCCTACCCTGGCGGCTTTGAAATCTCAGTCAGAGACTAGCCTGTTGTTCTTTAAGACTGAGCAGCAGGGGCCATGCCTTACTGGCTGATAACTCCATACCTGACCTGCTGGGCCTGAGCACAGAGCCAGCATGCAGCAGATGCTCACCGGCCTGTCACTCATCACCTGGCTGCTTAGCACTGAGGTCTTCTGTGCCAGCACATGCAAGTGTCTCTTGTGATCGATCTCTCACTTTCTCTCTCCCTCCCTCCTTCCTTCCTCTTCTCCCTCCCTTTCTCCTCTTCCCACTCCCTTTCTCCTTTTCCCTCTCCTCCCTCCCCTCCTCTCCCCTCTCTCCTGTCTCTCTGGTACTGGGGCTTGAAGCTTGAGCCCAGGGCCTTTGCACTGAGTCACATCTTCAGCCCTTTTTAGTTTGAGACAGGGTCTTGCTAAATTGTTAAACTGCCAAGTCGGGCTTGAACTTGTGTTCCTCCTGCCTCAGCCTCCCAGGAATTACAGGTATGCACCACCACACTTGGCTAATCATCTCATTTAACTCTCAAAATAGCTTGGCGGGAGAGATTAATTTTGTAGAGTTGAGGAAAACACAGTTTAAGGAACCAAGTGATCTGAGAAGGGTCATGCCATGCAACAGACGGAGGGTTTGGGTCCCCTCCAAATGCATGTGTTGAAACCCTCATACCCAAGGTTAGGCAGTAGGGCCTCAGGGAGCAGTTAGGTTGTGAAGGTGAAGCCTGATGATGACCTTGCGAACAGGAGGCCAGAGAGCTCTTCGGGCCTCTTTCTGGCTTGTGAGGACTCAAGTAGGTGGCAGTATGCTACCAAGAAGAAGGCTCTCACCAGACACCCTGATCCTAGACTTCAGCCTCCAGAATAATGAGAAAATTCTCTTCTTTTCCTGGTACTGGGGATTGAACTCAGGACCTGGCCCATGTTATGCAAACACAGTGGTACTGAACTACATTTCCACCTTTGTAAATTACGAGACAGGGTCTTGCTAATTTGCCCAGGCTTGCCTTAAGCTTACCCAGCCTTTCCTCAACTCTAAATGGGGATTCTCCTGCCTCAGCCTCCCAGGCAGGAGAATTTCTGTTATTTATAAGCCTCCCTCCCCCTGCCTATGGCACTTTATTATAGCAGCATTTCTGGGGCTCCCTGGCAGGAGTCCAGCGCAGTTGGCTGCCCCTTGCCTGTCTAGTTCCTTTTCCTTCCCTCCCTCTGTCCCCAAGCCCTCTGTGCAGCTTGGCTACCTTTGACTTCTCAGGTGCCTGCATTTCCAGGGCCTCTGATCTTGCTCAAGTTTGTTAATAAATGTCTTCTTCTGCATGCATTTTTCTTAGGTGAGATCTTATCTATTATTTTCACATAATTTTGTTCTTTGAGAAATTTCTCAGTTGCAGTATTCATTTCTTACTCCTCTACCCACCTCTCTCCACTCTCATTCTGGGGCCCAACCTGTGCGGGTGTGAACTGCCCGGCATGGTGTATGCACTACCCACCATAAACACAAGGCACTTTTCAGACCCTATCCCTACAGCTGGCTTCCATCAGTTTCCCAGACTAGACCGTGACTTCCAAGAGTGCTGTCCTACGAGGTATTTTTTCTTTTTATTTCTGTAGCACTTTGCATGGTGCCTAGTATATAGCAAGCATTCAGTTCACTCATTCAATCCTCTATTAACATTAATGTTTACTATTATGTGGCCTATGCTAGGGAGACAATGGTGAGCAAAATCAGACTTATCTGTCTTGAGCTTAATGAAGTTTTTTGTTGTTGTTGCTAAAAAAAGTCAAGTTATGGCCCCTTTAGTCCCCATACAGACCCTGGTTCCAGCTCTCTGCTCCCGTTGCATGGGGTCTGATGAGAGCCATTAACTGCTTGCCCAGCACCAAGTCACTGTGTGGGCCCATGGAAGATTTAACCCTGTACCATGTTACTTCCTTACCCGAGTTTTATTTTCCTCAACTCTAAAGGGGGAAAAAATCTTGCCTATTTTTTTTATTTTGAGAGCCACATTGCCTGTCATTCCTTTCACCTATAGGCATTTCAATTCCGGTTCTGGAAAAGATAGGGGTCTGACACCTGCAAGGCCTCCTCTGCAGTGCAGAGGACACCCATCTGTAGTGCAGCACCTTCCTGCTTCCCCAGGCCAGACCAGGCGTGAGAGGCTGAGGTGGCCAGTCTCAGCTGGGTGGTTCCTCATGGCCCTCGGCACCCACAGCTCCTCTCCCCTCCACTTCCAGCTGCCCGCCTGCCAACCCTCACTCTCAGCTTTACTTGAGCCCCGTATCCCTGCCTTCTGCTGACCCAGGCTCCCAGTTCCCAGGCCCTCACCGCTAGCTCCACCTCTGAGTTTTGGCACCAGCAGCCCCCAAAGCCAGGGGAAAGGGCCCAGAAAGAGTCACAGATGGGGTCAGCTCCAGGAGACACCTTTCCCCTGAGCAAGGGGCAGCTCGCTGGGTGACTGCGGCCAGGTCTGTGCCCATGCCGAAGAGGGCAGAGCCTGGAGACCACCCCAATGCTCACCCAACTCTGAGATGAGGTGCTTCCCTCCTGTACCCCTTAGTCCTGTTTTGGCCTCTGGCCCTGCCACAAAACAAGTGCTTCTTTTGGAAGCTGCTGGAAATTGAGGGGTGGGAAGGAAGGAACCAAACAACAGACAAGAGCCCCCCGGGCAGGGGCTGAAGAGCAGGCTTGGAGCCTGGAGAGCCGTGGAGTTTTTCCTGCTGAGCTGTGGCGGGTCAGGCAGGAAGAGTGAAGCGGTGGGGGTGATCTGACGCTCTGCTTCACTCTGCCATGGGAGGGAAGCCCACACGGTGCTGGAGCTTCTACTTTTTTAAGGTAATCAGAATATAGGGATCATATAAAATATTATTTTTAAAAATGCTGGCAGTGAATGCTACCAGTAGAAGGGGGCCTAAAGCCCACCCTCTCGGTGCCTGAAGGAGGGGGCCTGTCTTCCTTGGGCCCGGAGCGACTCTGCCCGAAAAGGCGCCCACCTCACACCCTGGGGCCAGGCTGGCTTAAGCCACAGCTGCCCTACCGGCTTAGGGCAGTGGATGTAGCGTGCCAGGCTGATGATGAGGTCATGAGTGATGGGGTCCACCAGGTTCCGGAAGCTGGCATAGCGATACAGGACATCGTCCAGGGAGGTCGACTCCATGCCCAGGTCCTGCAAGAGCAGAGGAAGCCCACAGGTGAGGAGTGGGCATCCAGGTCAAGTGCCACCCACTCCCCTGTGCCCCCCAGAGTAGCAGGTGCAGCTCCCTGGAGGCAGCTCAGCCTCCCTCAGATCCCGGGCAAGGAAGCAGCTACTGGACTCCCTCAGGGGACCAGGAAAAACCCCTGCCTCTGTCTCCCAGCTGAGGAAGAGGAGGGACCCACACTGGCACCTGCAGCCTCTGAAGTTCCTGTAGGTGCTGGTTTATGAGTCTCACCCAAGACAGCCCCCCGTGCTTCACTTCTTGGGTTCCCCCAACCATGAAGCCAAGCATGGTGGTCTCAGCCCTAGTGGCTGTGCCTCCGTGGCAGAGGGGGCAGAGTGTGGAAAACCCCCGCCCTGTGATGAGATTGGTTGCTGGTCTCCGCTCGTGTTTCTGCTATAGACAACCCAACTTCAGTGTCCCTTGTCCTGGAGGCTTTTGAGCTGTGGGATTCTAAGAAGAAGAGGCCAGGTACGGGGAGGAAGCCCCACCAGGGCCCAGTAGGGTGTACAGTGGGGTCCCTATAATGGACAGGGAGGAGGATGGATGAGAGCAACACCAAGTGGGGTGGGGCAAGTGCTGCAGGAACAGAGGCTCCTCTGGACTGAGGAGGGAAAGAAGTCTGCTGGTGGTGAGGTGTGGAACAGGGCAGCAAAGTACGGCACTGTGGCCTCCGAGGAAGTGGCAGAAGCAGAAGCAGAAGCAGAAGGCCTCTCTGACTTTTCTCTCAGCAGGTCACAGCCTGGCTCCAGAGCCAGCAGTGTCCCTCATGCACTGGAGGGAAGGAGCGCCTTTATCCTCGAAAATACACAGACCACAGAGAGTCTGAATGGACACGGCTTGCTCAGTTTATAGTATTGTTTTCTGATCAGAACTCTGTCCATAAAAATTCACACATTTCTGTTTTCTTCTGTGTGTGTGTGTGTGGTAGTGGGGATCAAACTCGAAGCCTTCTCACTCAACTTTATTCCCAGCACTCCCCCCCCCCTTTTTCCTTTTTATTTTGACACAGGGTTTCACTAAGCGGCTCGGGTTGGGCTAGAACTTGTGATCATCCTGCCTCAGTCTCCCAGACTGCTGGGATTACAGGCATGCACCACCATGCCCAGCTTTAATTTTGAGTCATGGTCTTACTAAATTGCTCAGACTGGCCTTGAGCTTGAGATCTGCTGCCTCAGTCTCCTGACTAGTGGTGATTACAGGCATGTGCCACCACACCTGAAAGATTTCTCTTCATTTAGTCTCTCTCTCTCTCTGTCTCTCAAATCAGGCCCTAGGAATAAAACTCGGGATCTCCTGCATGCACTCTGTTCCCCACCCCTTCATTTGAACTTCAAGAAGGGGCCAGTTTGGGAGCTTTATTTCCTCCCTTTGCAGAAATGAACCTCAGGGGCCACTGCAGTGCCCCCGCCAGGTTCGCTGGCTGCTGTGGGGACCAGGAGTCCGGGGCACAAGGTGAGGCGTGTCTGAGGGGAGGGGGCTTCTGAAACCCTGGCTGCTGAGGTCTGGAGCAGGGCCTTTGCAGAAGCAAGGATAGCAGCTGCCTTGACCTCTGCCCCACCCTGGCTGTTCAGCCGTGCTGCAGCCGTGCTGCACCCGGAAGCGAGCTACCTAATACTACCCAGTCGAGTTTTCTCATCTGTAACAGGAAACAGTGACCCAACACCAAAAGTCAGCAAAACAAAGCCAAGTAATATGGGCAAAGCCTTTGGCAGGGATCACAGTGCCCATGAGAACGGCTCCCCTCCCCCCTCCCCCTTCTCCTCCTTCTTCCAGGGCCTTGAGGCCCCTCTACTCCCTCTGCAGCCACTCTTAACCTCTTTCTATGCCACGGACCCACCTGATGTGTGAAAAGCCATGAACAGTGCAGAACAATGCGGGACTCTGGGCAGGACAGGGACCGTGGCACACGAAGTCTATGCTGCCCTCATGGTCTGGACTGTGTGGACACATGGGTTCCCAGGACATACACTATTACCCAGCAATGTGTACAAACATGGCCCTGCCCTGTGGGCAGAGGGAAGCTGGGGCTGGAGACTCAAGAAAGCAGCAAGGCAAAGGGCTTGTGTGGCAGGGTCTCGGCAGGCTGTGTGGTCAAAGGGCTGTGGCCCGGCATCCAGCTTCTCACAGCTTACAGCTCCAGGCTCTTCTTCCTGGGGACAGGGAGGTGGCGATTCCCACGGCCAGAGGTCAGAGGTGCAGAGTCATTTTTCTTTCCCAGTCTGTTGCAAGCTGGGTTGCTCCTCTGTGGCAGTCAAGTCAAAGTCAGTCCCCGCCCCTCCTCTGCTTTGCCCCTGTACAGCCCTTCCTGTGTGTGTACCCCAGACCCCTAGTGGTCTCAGGTCCTGGCTGGCCCCCAACTTCCTGTAAGTCTGTGGGCAAGAGATCACTTCTTGGAAACTGTTTCCCCGTGCCCAAAACAAGCAGGCAAATTGCAAAGGGAGCTACCAAACAGTACAAGCTCTCGGGGCACGAGGTGGGCAGCAGGGTGGACGGGGGTAGGTCAGAGGAGCCAGCAAGATTGTGGGCAGAGCAGCTCTTGTTTCAAACAAGCAAAAATAATCAAACAAACAAATGAGCTCTGCTACTAAAGAGAAGTCGGAAAGCCCCAGACTAAAGAGATGGTGGCCTGGGTTTCCTGTGTTCCTACCATCCCACCCCTCTTTCCAGGCCCCTACCCTTCTGGATTAGTCAAGGCCACTCCATCCTGAAAGTCCTAGGAAAACCGCAGGGAGAAGATTCAAAGACCCCTCCCCAGAGCCCACTCCCCCAGAGTTCCTCCCTCCTGTCCTGTCACCCTGGGTGCCCTGGCGCTGACAGTGCTACCCTCTCTGTCAGGAGTGCTGTCTGGTCCGTGAGTTTGTCGCTTGATGAGGGCGGGGGCCTGCTCTGGGTGAGTGACAAACGCCCTCCCTGGGAATCCTATTTGGGGTGGGCAGGACAGCAACAGGTAACACCTGGTAGGGGCTGAGCAAAGGCTGCCGCATATCTATTGCTTTATCTCTACCCCGCCCAAGTCCATAGAATGTGCTGTTTTAGGGCACCCCACACCCTGAGGACCTGTGTCCCCTTATGCTCCTTTCCGTGAGTCAGTTTATTGGTGATGACCGTCTCTCCCCACCAGGGGCTACCCCTGGGGCTGGGTGGGAGATGCTCAGGGTGTCTCTGGAGGCTGCAGCCCCAGAGGCCAGGCTCCTCTCTCACTCTGCACCCACAGCTGCGCCAGTGCCGCACTGAGGGCCCTCGAGTTCTGCTCTGCTTTGGCCTGGTGCCTGTGTGTGCACGAGGGAGGTGGGATAATCAAATTCAGATGTGGCCTGTACAGGCGCCAGCCTTGGAGTGGCTGGTTTGTCTTGCAGTGCATGGGGCACTGAGGACAAGCTTGTCTTTCTCACTGGGGGACTAAACTGCACCATCTCTAGGAACTGTGTACATGGATAGCTGCTTATCAGAAGTCTGGGAGCTTATTATTAATCAGGAAGTGCATTGAGTCACTCTCTGGGCAGGTGTGGCCGGACCGAGCCATCGCCAGCTGTTCCCTGACACACGGTGTCTTGAGGAAGCGGAGCTTCCACATGACCCGAGCTTGAATAACCAGGTTTGAGGACTTGTTGTAATGGGACAAGAGAGGTCAAGGCATAGAGGTTTCAAAAAGTAATCAGAGGGCTGGGGTATAGCTTGATGGAGAGCAGTTTCCTAGCACAGGGAGGCCCTGGGTTCCATCCTGAGTACTGAAAAAAAAAAAAAAAAAAAAAAAAAGAGCAGAGATTCATACAAGGGGTCAGAACAGTGAGTCCTAACATGTGTCTAAAGACCTCAGGGAAGTTGGGTGTGGCAGCACAGCCTGTAATCCCAAATACTCTGAGAGGCTGAGGCAGGATGACTGCAAAGTTCAAGCCTAGCTGAGGGCAATTTAGTGATTTAGCAAGATCCTGTTTTAAAATAAAGACCTAGGTTCAATCCCTAGTACCACCAGAAAACCAACCAACCAACCAACCTCAGGAAGGGCGCTTAGAGACCCTTGGTGCGAAGAGTTCAAGGGGCTTCTTTCCCAAACACATAATCCATGTGACACTGGACTTTCCTCACAGACATCAACCAAAATGGTCTGTTGCAAAAGGAGGAATGCGGAAGCAGCAGGTCTGAGAAACCAGCTATGTAGTTCAGGTTGGCCTTGAACTCACTGTGTAGCACGGACAGCAATCCTCCTGTCTCAGCCTCCAGAGTGCTGGGATTATAGGAGTGTGCCACCACGCCTGGCTTCTACATGAGTTTTGGTGGGGACAAACCACGGCAATGGTCTGGAAAAGAGCTAGGGTAGAAGTCACCAAAGAATTTCAACATTTGCCTGTGGGCTAGCTGTCTTCTTTTCTTGGCCTTTGTTGGTAGAATGGGAGTTTTAGGCTCAAGGCACTACTACTATTGTTATTTTTTTTTAAATATGAAAATGACCCTACGAATGACCAAATCTGGCACTTTGCATTTGGGTTTGCACATGTGTATGCACCACTGGCCCTGAACTTGCACACCCACTGTTGCCCTTGTTCTTCAATACCTGCTCATCACTGGACTCACACCTCTGCTTTCTGTTCCTGCACTGCTGGGAGCATCGGTCACTAGTCCCTGCTTTCTCCCAGAAGGGACACATAGGTGGCTTCTTTTTCGAGCTCCAGATTACACAAACAGTCCTTTATGTTGAAGTCACATCTAAAGATGACCTGCTTGATACAAACTCTCTCCAAAATATCACACGTTACTCAGCTGCCCTCCAGTATTTAGTACTGCTGATGGCTCTGAGGCTGCTGGATTGTTTCTTTAGCTGCTTTTTCAAGCCGAGGCTCCTGTAGGGCTGTTTTTGCCACTAAACCCCAGCCGTGTCTCCTGGAAGGTGCCAACACACTGTTGGCTTCTTCGAACATCAGTTCAGCACACAACACAGCCTAAAACGCAGGTGATAGCTTTACAACAG